ATTGCCTGTGACAAAGGTGAAGGCAGCCTCATTGATTACGGCATCGCCAGGCGTGACGTCGGGGCCCATCTCAAGCTTGAAGTTGTCCACCGTGCCCCGTGGAAGACCCATTGCGGGTTGAGGTTGCGCGTGGGTGGCTTGGCTCAACCCTGGCGGCACTCGGCGGTTGCTGCTCCCCGACAGCCCCCCCTCCCTACACGGCCGAATCCGGCGCCATACCCGAACAGCAATACCTCGCTGAGGAAGAACGAGCCGAAGGCGCAGAGGACGGCGAAACTTGAGGCCCATTTGCAGGAGGCGCTGGAGGAGCTGGAGGCGGCCACTGACACGGAGGACCAGGTCATGCCGCACATGATCCCGCTTGAGGTGTGGCAGCGGGCGCAGGACAATATACAGCAGAAGGATATGGAATGCCAGATGTCGTCTGAGTTGCAGAGCGTGCATGCCGAGCTCACTTGCGGCTCGGTGGCACAGTGGATGGCGGTGGACAAGGTAACCCACGCGTGCGGCGATTGGGTCTCGGCCTTGGAGCGGGCCACGCTCATGGTCAGCGACGTCGCGGAGGACCCGCTGTGCCAGTGCGTAGGGCGCGCGGCTGGCATGGGCCGCCGCACCGTCAAGGCTAAGGCCACCCCAGGCCGCGCACGCATGAAGTATGCGCCAGCGGGTCACTGGGGTGTTTGTACGACATTGGCCCGCCGTTACCTTGCACAAGAGTTACATCGTAGCGACTTTCGACAGCAACGTTCGTGCGTGAAGGAGCGGCAGGCTCAGATGCACACCATGGGGACTATGGACCAGGAGCCCGCCTTCGGCAAGAAGGCGCTGCAGGAGGAGCGCAGCCTGGTCTACGAGCAGATGGGAAGCACGGATGCGTTGAAGGGAGCGTTGGCTATTTCCGAGCGCTACCAGGCGGTGGCGCAGGCCCGCGGCCTCACTGCGCAGAGGCAGAGCTTCACGAAGTGGGCAAGGGGGCCGCGGGCGAGCAAGCCTGGCGCCCTCCACAGACACGTCAAGGAGAAGACTGCCCCTGTCTATGAGGTGGCCCTTCAGCGCGGAGCAGCAGGTCGCGGACCTCGACACGGCCATGGAGCACAAGGCGAGGTTCTGGGAGGACATCCGGAAGGATCCCGAGGACGCGCGTGCAGATCACGGAGTTCCTAGCGAAGCTGGCCGAGCAGGCCAAGGAGGAGGGCCTGGAACCGATCACGATTGAGCAGATGGACGCGGTCATCAACAGGTCTAGCGACTCGAAGGCCATGGGTTTGGATGTTCTGGGGCCAGGTAGCATCCGTCGGTTACCTGATATAGCGCGCGTGCAGCTACTGCAGTTGATGCATTATTGTGAGCGAGAGCGTGCGTGGCCACGGCAGTGCTCCATCGCGAGGCGCGTGACCGCGGGTAAGCCCAGGGGTGGTGGCCGTGTGTTGGGTTTGATTGCGTGCGTGCCGAAGCTATGGGGCAAGTGTCTCGCTGCCCCCAGTGAGTCGTGGCCCCTGGGATTGGCAGACCATTGGGGCACGGCGATCCGAGGCTCTTCGGCGTTGCGACCTGGGCTGCTACGTGCATGCCTGGCTTAATCCAGCTTGGAACTCGGGGACACGTCGTTAACTTTGCTTCTGGACATTGAGAAGTTCCATGACTCGGTGTCCCTATTTGTACTACTGCGCTTGGCCAGATCTGCTGGGTACCCACCTGCGTTGATTTCATCAGAGGTGCAACAGCTTCTGGTTCCCAGGTATTTGCAGGAACGGTCAGTTTTGACCAGAGCTATTTTTCCCATCCAGGTCCATCGCTGCTGGATCCCCACGTGGAGTGGGGTTAGCGAAGCTGTTTCTACACCTGATCTTGGGTATGCTCATGGGCGTTTTCCTGCTTCTGGACTCTGGACGTTCGTGGACGACACCACCGCGCGGTGCGAAGGTAGCTGCGCGTCTGTCGGGGAAGCGATGATAGCTACTGCCATGGATCTTAAGAAGGGTCTTGAGGAGCAACGTCTGGTGATCTCTCAGAAGACTGTACTTCTTGGCTCAAACCCACGTGTGACCCAGAGGACAGCCAGGCTCCTACGCGCTCGGGCTTCCCGTCACGGCTGTTTCAGAGACCGTGGACCTTGGCCTCGACGTTGCAGCTGGCAGGGGGGCGCGCTGTCAGGAAGGCTAAGCAGCGGCTGCGGGGCGCTTTTCGTCGTGCAGGGAAGAGCCGCAGGCTGCGACGGATCGGAACGTTGGCCCAGATTTCGACAGGTTTGTGGAACGCGGGTGCTGTACCTCAGGCGCTGCACGGGCGTGTAAGTAAGGCAGATGTTACACAGTTGCGCAGACAGGCTGGGCAGATGGTGGGGGACGAGCACGCGGTCCCTGCCTCGCCACCATCTTGGCTTGTGACCCGTCGGTGCCCGACCCCGCGCTCGAGGTCCCCATGCAAGTGGTGCGCGAGTGGGTCGCGCTGCGGCTACGTCATCCTGAGCTGCACGATCGAGTGATACGGGTATGGGGTATGATACGCACCCGACTGCTGAAGGCGGCTGCGGGGCGTTGGGCGCACGTGCGTGGCCCAATCGCAACAGTGCAGGCGACTGTGATGGACGTTGGCTGGGGTCCAGTGTCTGCTACCTCCTGGATGCGGCCGACGGGGTGCGATGACGACCCTGTGGACCAGTGAAACACTCCTTCACGACATACCGATGGTTGTTTCACCCGCGGCGTCGTTCGAGGCGCTGTTCGAGGACGTGGAAGCAGACATTCGCGGTATCCTGTGGCGCGAAGCTGCGAGACATGAAGCGGGACAGGATCTCGATGCTGGAGCTGATATGATTCCGTCTCTGCGAGAACAACGCAGACTGGAGCGTCAGGGTGCCAGAGACATGTCGGCTGTGAACGTCGCGGTGGTCAGCGGCGGCCAGTGGACCAAGCAGAGGGCGGTGGACAATGGGTACCTCCTTCAGCCGCTCTGTGGCCGATGCCGGAAGACACCGGAGTCCCTCTTCCATCGCATCTAGGAGTGTGAGCAGAATCGTGACCATGAGGATTACACACGCACGCATTGTCTGGTGCCGCTTGCCGCCTCGCCTCATGCTGCTGAGCCCTTTCTTTGGCGAAGGGGCACCCCACCCTTGCGCCTCACCCACACTGCTTTTGACGAGAAGGTGGTTCGAGGACTGGAGGAGAGAGGCGTTTTTGGAAGGCCAACACGAGGGCGCACTGTTTGTGTTTGGCGGCGGCTCGGGTGGGAAGTATAGTGATGACCCCCGCCGTCGCCGATGTGGCACGGCGATCACCGCTATCGCGAGGCGCGATGGCCATTTCGAGCTCGTTGCTGCCCTGGCGAAACCGCTCGCTGGTGACAAGCAGACGGTCCCTCGGGCAGAGGTTTTCGCGTTTGTTTTGGAGTTGTCAGTGGTCAAGGGCCTCTCGCGTTTGTGACCGACCACCTCCCGCTTTTTCTGCCCTGGAGGCCCCGCCTGCGGGGCCCGCGGCCTAGCGGGCCAAACGAGGACCTGTGGACCGCGGCGCGCCAGGCTTTGGAGCCCAGACATGACAAAGAGTCTCTGTCGGTGGTGTGGACACCATCGCACCGAGATGATTCGCCAGCCACGATCCAGTCGGAGTGGTATTTGTTCTTTGTCTGCGGGAATTCGACGGCGGATCTGTGGGCGGGGAGGGCGGCGGAGATGGCGGGGGAGTCTGCTCTGCTCGGCGCGTGGCCTAATGTTGATCGGGTCGACGCCACTGCCGCCCTGATCCGCCGCCGTGCTCGGCGGGCTCTGATTGGCGCCGCTGCTGCGGAGCCGTCGCACCGCGCGAGCCGCCAGCCGCGCCCCGCCCGCTTGCCCAAGCTCGAACTACTGTTGCGGTCGTCGGCACTCAAGTTGCGTAAGTGTGGATCGAAGTGGGCGTGTGTTTCCTGTGAGATGGTGGTTGCCGACGCCAGCCTCTCTACGTTTGCAGCGAGCCCGTGTGAATACACTTCACCGTTGGGGGTGGAGGCCTGCCCTGTCGCTCCGCAGGCTGCGCGGGCTGCGGCATTGCTGATTCACCCCACGCACAGGTGCAGTTTTTTCCCCGAAGTGGTTTCTCACCTGTTGCACGGGGTGTGGGTTCTACACCACGGTGGATCCCAGGGCCCTCAAGGGCCGCTGCGCTGGACCGTCCCCGAAGGGGACGGACAACCTGAATCGTATCAAACGGGGGCTCTATCCACGAAGTGAGAGGCCCCCGAAGCCAATTGTGGCGGCGATGGCGGAGCGGGACAAGTTGCGGATTGTCGAGTCGTTGCCGGTCGTCTCGTCTTCTGGTACCCAGTCCCGCCCGCCGCCGCAGGACCCTCCTCCCCCCCCCGCCCTCCCAGAAGCGGAGGCCCAGGTGGCGGCGGCGCCGCCGTCAGGCGCGAGCGGCCTGCCTAGGTGGGGTTTGAGGAGGAGGAGGAGGAGGAGGAGGAGGAGGAGGAGGAGGAGGAGGTAGGAGGATTAGTAGGAGGAGGAGGGAGGAGGAGGATGATTGGGTTTGTCCCCTGAGTTTTTTTCTTGCGGCCCCTGTGGGGCCGAGGACAGCGGCCGCCCTCAGTCTACCCCTTCCCCAGCTTACTTCCTCCCCTTCCTCCCTCCTCTTCCTCATCCTCCTCCTCCTCCTCCTCTTCCTCTCCTCGTGCCATCCTCCTCCCCAGCCCGTCCTCCTCTCCTCCTCCTTCTCCTCGTCCTCCTTCTCCTCTTCCTCTCCTCCTCCTCAAATCCTCCTCCTGCTCCTCCCTTCTCCGCCTCCACACCACCTCTCCTCCTCCGCCGCCTCCTCCCCCACCTCCTCCTCCTCCTCCTCCTACCTCTCTCCACCTCCTCCTCCTCCTCCTCCTCCTCCTCCTCCATCCTCCTCCTCCTCTCCTCCCTCCTCCTCCTCCCCCTCTTCCTCCTCCTCCTCCTCCTCCTCCTCCTCTCCTCCCTCCTCCTCCACCTCCTCCTCCTCCCTCCTCCACCCTCCTCCTCCTCCTCCTCCTCCTCCTCCTCCTTCTCCTCCATCCCGCCGCACGGCGTGCGGGCGGCGCCCTCCCGACCCGTCATCGGCTATGCCCTCATCGCCCCCATCGTGAGACCCCGGCTGCCTCCTCGGGAGGCCGACGGATCGCCACGAAGCCAACGGGCCCCGAGGGAAGCGGGTGCTGAGCTGTTCGCCGCGTTCGGGCTCTCGGGGACCTTCCCCCCCCGGGCTCCGCGACCGTCCAAGAAGCGGTTCCTCCCAGGGGAAAGTGACGGGGTGCAGGGCCCGCTTCCTTCGGGACCCGATTCCTCCACGCCAAGGAGAACAAGGATCTGCGCAACCATAAACTTTCAGAGGTCCGCGCGGATTTCTGGAAGTCTATGTTTACGCAGGTTGTCATTATCCTAGAGAAGGGGGAGTGCTCCTAGGCATCCAACGTCTTGAAATAACCACGGCGCATGTGTCCAAAGTTTTCTGTGTCCGTGGACAGTTTTCGGGCTCCAGGGCCGTCAACAAGACTATTCAGCATGGAACGACTGCCCTTGAGGGAGGGTCGAGGTTTCCAGGGACCACGCATTAAACACAGATCAAGGCATCGGGTTCCTGGATTTGGTGACACGCAGGTTCGGTTGGGATGGATTCGGAGACCTCGTTGGCTGGGCCTTCCAAGGCTGTGCGCAACGCCTGGGGCCTGGGGCTCGCAGAGATCTTGGGCAAAGAGCAGCTGCAGAACACGCCCAGGCGGAGGGAGGCAGCTTTTGAAAGCCTGCGACCAGAAGCGCCCCGCCCGAAAACCTCCATCCGCGCTCCTCGGTGATCCTCGAGCCTCCGTCATCGATCCACGGTCCTCCCCCTCGTGCGGAGGGTAGTTCGAGCCAGCGGATTCAGACGGGGTCTCCCGCCCCGTGCTGGTGTATGACACGTACACCGCCTACCACCACTACAAGGCGAAGACCCACCACGCGAAGGACTTCGCCGCCCGGCTGGTGCTGAAGTCCGACTGCACGGAGAAGACCATCAGGATCACGAGGGAGGACGCCCTCAAGAGAGACTTCCTGAGGCCGGAGTTCGCAGAGGTCTGCGGCCAGAATCACTCGGCCATGCTGGCCAAGCAGGTGCAGCGCGCAAACTTCGAGATGGTCAAAATGATGGGAGCCTTCGAGGAGCCGAAGGAGAAAAACCAAACATTAGTTATCCTGGCGAATGACCCCACCATCTGCAGTTGTGAGTACCGCGTTGTGGCAGAGCTTTCGGTGGAGCTCCTAATAGGGTCACGAAACGTGTGAGGGTTGGGCCAGAGTGGGCGGAGAACCCGAACCCTGCCCCAGAGACCTTCGGTGGAGCTCCCAATCGGGTTACGACACGTGTGAGGGGTGTGCCGAAATGCGCGGGGAACCGCATGCGAAACCTGCCACTAAGGCCTTCGGAGGAGCTCCCAATGGGGCCACGAAACGTGTAAGGGGTGTGCCTGAATGCGCGGGGAACCGCATGCGAACCCTGCCACTGAGGCTTTCGGTGGAGCTCCCTATGGGGCCACGAAACGTGTGAGAGGTGTGCCGGAATGGGCGGGGACCGCGTGCAAACCTTGCCACTGGGGCCCTCGGTGGAGCTCTCTATGGGGCCACGAAACGCGTGAGGGTTGTGCCGAAATTGGCGGGGAGCCGCATGCGAGCGCCGCCACCGAGGCCTTCGGTGGAGCTCCCTATGGGGCCACAAAGCGTGTGAGGGTTGTGCCGAAATGGGCGGGGAACCGCATGCGAACCCTACCACTGAGGCCTTCGGTGGAACTTCCCATGGGCCACGAAACGTGTGAGCGGTGTGCCGAAATGGGCGGGGAACCGCATGCGAACCCTGCCACTGTGGCCGTCGGTGGAGCTCCCTTTGGGGCCACGAAGCGTGTGAGGGGTATTCAGAAATGGGCGGGGAACCGTACGCGAACCTTACCAGTAAGACGTTCGGTGGAGCTCCCTTTGGGGCCACGAAGCGTGTGAGGGTTGAGCCAGAATGGGAAGAGCACCGCATGCGAATCCTGCCACTGAGGCCTTCGGTGGAGCTCCCTTTGGGTCCTGTGGAGCTCCCTATGGGGCCACGAGGCGCGTAAGGGGTGTGCCAGTATGCGCGGGGAACCGCATGCGAACCCTGCAGCTGAGGCCTTCGGTGGAGCTCCCTATGGGGCCACGAAACGTGTGAGCGGTGTGCCGAAATGGGCGGGGAATCGCATGCGTACCCTTCCAGGCAGAGCTCCCTCTGGGGCTACGAAGCGCGTAAGGGGTGTGCCGTAATGGACATGCGGAGGGCAGAGGCAGAGGCAGGGATGGGAGGAGGGAAGCAGGAGGAGGGGGAGGAGGAGAGGAGGAAGGAGACGCGGGGCGCTGTCTCTTCCAAAACGAGGACCCTGCACCCCAGGACGGTTGGGAGCAAAAGCTCCCGAGTGTTCGCACGGACTTCTTGGGTCGGCGCTGGCTTAGGGGAACACAAAGTGACAAAAACATAAAAACTCGGAGGTCCGTGCTGATTTCTCGGATCGGCGCTGGACCCCATCCCTGGCGCGCGGAGCGCGCCAGGGGCGGCGCCGGAGGCGCCGCCAGGGGGCCCCAGCGCCGATGTTTATGTCATTCTTCGTTTCCTTATCCATGGCGTGTAAAGCACGCCAGGGGCAGCGCCAGAGGCGCCGCCAGGGTTTCCGGCGCCGGACCCCGAGAACTCCGCGCGGACCCCCGAGAGCTCGTCTGTCTATGTAGTATCCCCTCCCGGAGTACCACACCCGCCCCAACCAGGGCAAGGAGGAGGGGGGGGGGAGGAGGAGGAGGAGGAGGAGGAGGAGGAGGAGGGAGGAGGAGGAGGAGGGGAGAGGAGAGGAGGAGAGGGGAGGAGGGGAGGAGGAGGAGGAGGAGGAGCGGGAGGGGAGGACATGAGGAGGGAGAGCAACGAAGAAGCAGGAGAAAGGGGCGGAGGAGGAGGAGGAGTAGGAGGAGGATGAGGAGGAGGAGGAGGAGGGAGGAGGAGGGAAGAGATTAGGAGGCGTGCGGAAGGAGAGCAGGAGAGGAGGAGGAGGCATGATTAGGATATGAGGGAGGAGGTAGGAGGGGGATAGGAGATGATAGGCTGATGATGAGGAGGGTTGATGTAGGGAGATAGGGATGTTAGGATGGATTATTCTGATTTATTTCAAGTATTAGTAGTATTCATTATATATGCAGTTTCATGAGTGTTTATTGATTATTATTATTATCATGCGTATTATTATCCATTCTGTTCTTAGTTTCATTCATTCGTCCTCTTATTCGTCTTCGGCTTATATTCTTAAGTCTTATTTCTTCTTAAGATTATGATGCATAGTATTACGCTTATTAGTCTTAGCATTTTATTCTTCTTATTTTTATTATTCTTCTTATTATTATGATTACCCTCCTTCCTTGCTTTTCTCGACGCGAGCCGCATGGTTTACTTTTTCTTGGCCCGCGCACTTCGTGTCCGGCCTACATCGGCGCTCCGAAGTATTCCGTTTTGCGAAGCACGGCTCCGCGCGGATGCAGCGCAACCGCACGACTGCAATGTCGTTGCGCTCAGGAAGTCGTGCACGAGCCTCGCGGGCCTTGGCAGAATCCGCGCTCGGGCGCGAACGCTGACGAATCTAGCGCGCGTTCTGGACCACCTGGGTCAGAAAAAGAGATCCGCCGAAGAAGTGTTGTTTGCAGAAAGCCCCCAGCGTGAAGCCAATTGTCGGGTCCGTCGGACAGGACCCGAAAACATGTTGCTGCAAACGTCCCGCGCAAGTTGGCCACATTTGGGCTGGCTGGTTAAACTTTCGGGTCGTCCAGCAAACCCGACGCGTATGTTTTCCAGAGAGCTCCTATGCGAATTGCTCGTGTCCGGATCCATGCGCCGCTTGGGACAGCCGAAGCCCGATTCCAGCCCAGAGGGCTCGTTGAAGGCTTAACGACTTCTGCCGCCCTTCGACTCGCGCTGGAGCGGCCGCGAGTTGCTCCAATTTTCCCTGGAGATCCCTGGATTTTCCTAGATTCACTCGGCTTTGCTTTGATTTGTCTGCATTTGCCTGGATTTTTATTTGGCTCGACTCTCACAAAAGCCGATCGGCGAAGAGCCGCCAGGCCCTCTCAGGGCAGGGCGGGGGGCCGCTTCACTCTGTGCGGAGCGCAGGCGGCCAGACGGGGCGGGGCGCCGATCCTGCCCCCGCCTCCGCCGCCCCTCCGCCCTCGCTCCCCGAGCGGTCCCCCCTGGCCATCGTCGACCCCGCGCCGGCCCAGATGTGAGTCGGGCCGGGCCCTCTGCAGGAGGAAGCTGCAAAGATAGCAGGAGAAAGAGTCTGGGGACGATGTTCGATGACCCTTGGATGATTTAAAGGTATTTTTTGTTGCGCATGCTTTATTTTTGTCCAAGATCCGCCTGTAGGAGGACATGCCCGACCTAAGCCTAGATGGCGACGGGATGCACCGTGCAAGATTTGGGAATCTTTCGGGTCGGCGCGGCAAGCAAGCCTGGCTGCGGTCCGGCTTCGCACATGCCGCCGCCGCCGCCTACCCCACCTGCCGCTCCGCGCCCGCCGCAGGCTCCAGGGTACCCTCCCGGGTCCCGCGAGCGGCCGCGGCCGGGCGCCAGGGCCGAGGGTCAAGGGAGAAAAAACACCCGGACTTGGCGTTTACTAAACAGCCCCGGGCCTTTACTGAACAGCCCTGCCCTGCTCCATTCCTTATCTGGGCGCGTTTACTAAACGACTTCGCGTGTCGGGGTGGTTACTATCCAGGTGGATTGTTTGACCTCTAAAGGGGGCCCCAGACCAGCCTGCTGCCTTCCCCGCCACCGCGGGGCGCCACGGCCAGCGATCGGCTTCCCCTGTTTTTTTTTTCTCCCCAGGTGGGCCGCGGCACGCGCGCGGCGGGCTCCAGAGATTGAGGCCAGCGCTCCCCAGGGCTGCCGCCGACCAGACTCTCCTCCTTCTCCTCTTCCTCCTCCTCCTCTTCCTCCTCCTCCTCCTCCTCCTCCTCCTCCTCCTCCTCCTCCTCCTCCTCCTCCTCCTCCTCCTCCTCCTCCTCCCCCTCCTCCTCCTCCTCCTCCTCCTCCTCCTCCGGTCCCCTGCCTCCTCCGTCCTTCCTCCTCCTACCTCAGTCCCCCTCCTCCTCCTCCTCCTCGCTCCCTCCTCCCTCCTCCTCCTCCTCCTCCTGTCCTCCTCCTCCGCCTCCTTTCTCCTCCTCCTCCGCCATCTCTTTCGCCGTTGCCATTTTGGCTCAAGTATCGGGACAGTCGTTTTTTGAGTGAGTCAGCCGCTTCTTCTCCGGGCCCCCCCGTGCTGTCCAGGCTGGCGTGCGTTTCACTGATCCCCACCAACTCCTCGGGCGTCTCAATGGCTGATGCATCCCCCCCTTTCAGCCAAGCGCCTGCCAGTACCCAGGAGCGCCAGATGCTTGCGGAGCTTGACGAGATGCCCACCTTCCCCGACGGCGAGCGCTCGGGCAAAGGCCAGGGAACGGGCCGCTTCACCCAGCGCAAGCGCCAGGCCCTCGCTTCGTCCAGTGCCGGTGCTCCTGTTCCTTCTCCTCACGATGATGACGATGATGATGGTGACTTTCTTCGGCAGTTGTGCAGAGAGGAGTTTGCCTCAATGCGAGACACCATCACCACCGAGGTGTCAGAGTCGGTCGCCAAGACCATCACCTCCAATCACAACACGTTGCTCAAGATGTTGTCGTCCATGCAGGGCGAGGTGGCAAAACAATCCAGTGCCATCGAGAGCCAGGTTCAATCGGCGGTCGCCCCCAGACTCGACTCGCTCAACAGGCGCTTCCAAGCCCAGCTCGACGAGCAGAAGCGCAGCATCGACGCGCTGGAGGGCAGAGCTGACGAGCATGACAAGTCCATCCAGGATCTCCAAGACCAGCTGGCGGAGCTACGTCGCCAGATGGCCATCGCTGAACAGACTCCCAGGAAGCAGCTGGCTGCTCCCACCTCCTTCGACCGCGAGGAGGACACCACGATCGTCGTTGCCGTCTCGCAGCGACCGACTACCCTGGCATCAGTGGTCTCATCGCTACGCCCGTGGCTCGGCGAGATTGGCTTTGATGATGAACAGTATGAAATCAAGCAGAAAGGCGAGTCCCCAGCCAGGAGGTTCGAGATCTGCTTCTCGGGCTCGGCCACCATCGCCTCGCGCCGTGCCAGCAAGACCACCTCGCTCCTCAAGGGACCCGATGGCTGGAAAGAGTTCTGGGTCGACCCTCCAGGCGCCGAGCGTTGCCGTTTGCACCTGGGCCCCGACAAGTCGCCCAAGCGTATCAAGACCGAGGTCACCCTGCGCAAGGCCAGGGCGATCATCGAGCTGCAGTACCCAGGCAAGCGATTCTACTCCGACCGCGAGCATGGCGTCCTCTCCATTGGGTGGGACAAGATCATGCACGTCAATGTCTTCCACGGCGACACCCCGCCCAAGATCTACTGGGACTCTGCGCAGCTTGCCAAGCACGCCATGGCTATCGACACGCTTCGCAATGCTGTCAAGGAGCTCACGCACCCGTCCGACCCCAGCCAGTGGTGTCTTTAGCGCTGCTGGACTATTTCATCTTCCTCCCCCGCCGCCGGGGTCAGCGGCGCCTACGTTTCGGATCGCTACTTGGAATTCTCGGGCTCTTCTTCAGGCTGGCGGGGATAAGGCCATTCTGAAGAGAAAGTATGTTCTCAGTCTCCGTCCCCTATCCGCGGTTATCGCGCTGCAGGAGGTGCACCAGGACCACTTCCAGCTCGACTCGTTCTTCAGATCGATTGCGTCGGGCCTCGCGATCCACTCCAGCTTCATCTCTGACGCAGATGACGGGCATCGGCGGGGTGGGGTTGCTGTGGTGCTTCCGCCGTTGGCTTGTCAGGGCTTCTCCGCTCCGTCGTCATCCTCCACTGTCCTGGTTCCTGGCCGAGCGATGCTAGTCCGTGTTTGGGATGACTGCCGCACGCTCGACATCTTCAACATTCACAATCATGGTCTGTCCGCCCAGCAAGTTCGTGAAGTGGCTGCCGCGATACGAGTATCGCAACGTGCTGCTGCCCTCGACCCCGACATGTACACCACCTTTGTCCTCGGGGACTTCAATTTTGCCACGCACGAGGCTCTCGCGCTCGCTGCCCCCGCGGCGGCCGTGCGCAAGCTGTCGAAGTGCCACCACGTGCAGGCGCCCAAGTGGCGCCAGGCCCTCGCCCTCCTGACCGAGATTGCGTGCGAGGACCCCACGCACTACGAGAAGTTCAACGACTCGTGCGCGACGATCGACCGCGTCTTCTGCTCGATCACGGGCTGGCAGCTCTGCCAGCTGTATGTCCAGATTGGCACGCTTGGCTCGCCGGCGGCTGTCTTTGACAAAAAGATATCTGACCATGCTGCTGTTGTTCTCTCGATTGCCTGCCGCCCGCCTCGTCCAGTGGAGTCCCGCCCCATTCCCAAACACCTGTTCTCGGAGCCTGGTTTCAAGCGGCGCCTGGAGGGGCTGTGCTCCTGCATCCCGTGGGACTCCATGTCGCCCCCGTTCAAGGTTGAAAAGTACAAGGAGCTTTTGAAGATTTCGGCCGCGGAGACCAGGGACGCCCTCTTTCGGGACAGGCCGCATCACCCGCGCACCTGCCTCCTGCTCGCTCGTGCTCTGGCCCGTGTGGTTTGGAGGCAAGACCTGCGTATGGCTTCCAGGCTCCAGGACTCCCACCCCCTGGCCATTGACATGATTTCGATTACCGACGGGAAGGTCGTGATCCGCCACCCGCCGTCCTTCCAGGCTTGGGTCGACCAGGTCCAGACTGAGGCTGCTGAGTCCGCGAAGGCTGAACTTGAAGATCGCAGACGGCGTGAAGGTGACCGCGTCCAGATTCGTGCCCAGGTCCGCGCACTTGAACGGCGCGCTCGTCTCTGGTCCCCTCTCAACCGAAGGATATCGCTCTCAGCGGTTATTGCGCCTGATGGCTCTGCGGTCAGCGTTCCATCGGATCGACTGCGGGTGCTCTCGGAGCACTGGGCCCCTGTCTTCCAGAAAAAGCCGTGGGACGTCGCTGCTGCTGCTCCCTACCTACGCCGCCTTGCCCCTGACCTTCCTGCCGACCTACACCTCCCCCCGCCGTCGAAAAATATGCTACGTCGTGCGATTCGGTCTGCCCAACACTCTGCTCCTGGGCCTGATGCTCTCCCGTATGCTGCGTGGGCGGCGTCCTCGTGGGGGGCTGACATATTATGGGACGCTCTTGGCTGGGTACTCAGGGGCCAGGAGCTTTTTGCGAATACTAGTGACACGATCCAGATTTTTCTGCCCAAAAACGTCACGGACTTGGAGCTCCGCGATGCCAGCTGCTCCCGCTCCCCAGACAAGGTTCGAGTCTTGGGCCTCAGGAACTGTGACCTGAAGCTCATCTCATCCACCGTCAATCGAGCGATCCGACCCGCCCTGGTATCTCTCTCGCCCCGCCGTGCCAGCGTGGATTCATTCCGGGTAGGAATTTCGGCAACAACATCCTCGAGCTGCACGTGTCGAGCCGTCAGATGTCGGTCGTACCTCACGGGTCTACCGATATCCCTGTGCTGTATTCCTTGGACTTCGGCCAGGCCTTCCCGTCCCTGAATCAGGACTTCCTCATTCTCTCCCTTAGGGCCCTCAAGCTGCCTGAAGCATTCGTGTCCTTCGTCACGTTCCTATATGCATCGGTGGAAGGGGTTGTCTCGCACCTAGGTTCGCTAGTGCACATCTTCTGGATCCAGAGCGGCATCATCCAAGGTTGTGCCTTATCGGGCACTCTCTATGCGTTGAGTACGGCTGTCTTCTTGGTCGACCTGGCCTCTCGGGTGGAGGCCGCTGGCCTTGGCCTGGTTCGGGCCTGTGCTGACGACATTGGGGGCACGTTATTGGCCATACGGCACCTAGTTCATGTGTATCGGGTTATGCAGATGGCCTCGGACATGGCCAACCTCGCCCTGAAGGTCTCGAAATGCAAGATTGTCCCGCTGTCTGACAGGTTCTCGCCCGACCTCTCAGCCACAGTCTCCTTCTGGGTCTCCCATCTGGTCCCCGAGTGGAGCTCGTTCGAGGTGGCTCCCAAGCTGCTCTACCTGGGCCTCTGGCTGGGGCCTGCTGTTGTTCCGTCCACTGTTGGATTGACCCCGTCGCCAAATTGCGTCTCAGGGCCCAAGCCATCGGGCGGGGAACCACTCCTGCCAGCCTTTCCGCTACACTGTACAATACTCGGGCCGTCACGACCATATCTTACGTTGCCCAATTCTGCTGGCCGCCATCGTCAGTGTTGCAGCCTGAGTTGGCGACGCTCGCGCAGGTGTTCCGCATCCCGCTCGGCACTTTCGCCCTCGACTTCTGGACGCAGATCGCTCAGTGGGGCGGCCCGCGCTGCACGCGGTGGGGGCACCTGGCCGTCGCCACCATCACTCGAGCTGCGCTGCGCACTTTCCCAGGCTGGGAGAGGCTCCTCCAGCAGTTGCGGAACCACGCGCGCACCTTCCCGTACGATGCCACCCTGTCCATGCTGGCGACCGGCAAGCCGTGCCCGTCCTTCTGGTTGGCCCCCGCCTTTGTGGAGAATTTGGCGCTGGCTGCCGCTGGCACCCCTCCTCCTGGCCCGCTGGCCGTCTTTGGTGCTCGTGCTGCCGACGCTGCGCTGGCTGCACTTCGTGAGAGCGGCCGACTTCGTCCTCGACCTCAGAGAGCTGCTCACGAAGCGCTGCGGGCCTCTGCGATGCTGAACAAGCCCATCACTGACCTCTTCGTGCTCTGCCTGAGGAAGTTCGCTGGCAGGTCGGCGGGCCTCCTTTCGAACATCGACTGGGGCGAGTGCAAGAGCGTCCTCGCCCGCTGCCCGTGCTCGTGGGCCATGGCCGTCCTGCGCACTTGGTCTGATGGCTGGATGACTTCAGCCCGTATCATCTCACCTGACGGCCAGAAGCATTGCGTATTTGGTTGTCTCGGCAAGCTCGACTCGTTGCGGCACTACGCGAGATGCCCTGTCATGCACCGTGCCCTTCGGCAGGCTCTCGCGAGACCGTTCCCGCTCCCGTGGATGACCAGATGGGGCCTATCTGAACCCTCGCTGGCCACCTTCTCGGCGATGGCTGCCGCTTACAACATGTACAACGAAGCGAGGCTCGCGCCCGTGTGGCCCCTGACCCCGCCCCTCCTCCGCAGCTGTGCTCTCGCTGGTGTACGTTCGATGCAGCTCGCGTCACCGCTGAAGTGCTCGGAGATCGACCGCGAGCAGCTCGGCCGACGGGACTACCTCATCCGCAGCTCTTCGTCATCTTCATCCTCGGGGTCGTCTCCACGGCTTACTCCTGCCGTTTCGTCGTCGGACAGCGACACGGCCACCGTCTCCACAGCCATCGCCACGATCCCGTCGGACTCCGACGCTGATGATGAACTTCAGATTCCAGCGACGCCGCCAGCTACGTGCTCTCCTTCGGCTTCGGCGACCTCCCCCCCACCTTCCTCCGCGCCTCCGTCGATGACGCGCTCCCCATCAACTCTGAGAGCGGCCCCATCTCCATCAATGCCGTTGAGAACTTCACTGATGGCGTCCGCCTGCTCATCAATGTCGTCGCCGGCCCCAATTTCGCCCTGCGCTTGTGTGTCGCTGTCCCCGCCAGTGACGCTGTCGTCTACGGGATCGTATGCCTCGTCGCCTCCCATCGGCGTTAGATCGCAAGTCCCGTTGTCGTGTTCGGGCTCACTGTCGCCATGTGCTGGTTGCCTCGGGACGCCCCAGCTGGGCCCAGGCGTTAGATCGCAAGACCCGTTGTCGTGTTCGGGCTACACGTCGCCACGTGCTCGCTGCCTCGATGAGGAGCATCTCTCCCGTGGCGTTAGAATGCAAGTCCCGTTGTCGTGTTCGGGCTCGCCGTCGCCACAAGAACGTTGCCGTGATTCGGGACGCTGGTCCGTCGGCGTTAGATCGCAAGTCCCGTTGTCGTGTTCGGGCTCGCAGTCGCCACGTGTCGGACGAAATCCTGGGAATTTGGTGGCTGCTCGACGTTCGGCGCGATCCCCAACTCCGATGTCCACGCGCTCTCCGATGACGCGCTCCCCTTCGGTGTCGCCGACGGCTCTGGTGTCGCCCCCATCGTTGCCCTCTGAGTGTGCTTCGGAAAATGAGCAGCCTGCTTTATCTTTTCCCCCACGCACGTCCGTCGCCCTTCTGATGGCCGCCCAGGCCACGCCTCTCCCTCACCCGCCGCCCTCCTCAGCCGAGCCAGAGCTTGCTGGCCATCCCCCCACCCGTCCTTCGCTCCCGAGTGCTGCCCTTGCTTCTGCTTGCCCCCCGCCTGCTCCCCCTCCCTCCGCGTTTGCACCTGTCATGTCTCTCGATGTCTTTTCGTCGCTCGACTCTTCGAGCTCATCGTTTGTACCATCTCTCGCGGGCGCCATCGCCCCCCGCCCCGCCGCTCGCGACGACCTCATCGCGGGCGGCACCGAGCTGGCCGTCTCGGCCGTCATTGGTGCGCCCCGCCCGCCGCCGCCCATCGAGGCGCGCTGCAGGGGGTAGGCAGGAGCTGAGGATCCTCCTTGTACGCTGGGCTCCTCCGCCTCCTTTCTCCTCCTCCTCCTCCTCCTCATCATCATCATCATCCTGCTCCTCCTCCTCCTCCTCCTCCTCCTCTTCTCCTCCTCCTCCTCAAGACTCCTCCTCCTCCTCCTCTCCTCCTCCTCCTCCTCCTCCTCCTACTTCTCTTCCTCCTCCTCTCCTCCTCCTCCTCCAATCATCATCATCATCATCAATCCATCATCAATCATGGTCATCATTATCCTCATCATCATCCTCATCCTCATCCTCATCCTCATCCTCATCCTCCTCCTCATCCTTGTCCTCCTGCTGCCCCCCCCCCCTGTTGCCCAGTTCAGCTCTGGGCGCAGCACGCCCCTCCCGGGCAACCCGAGCCCCAGCGCCGCGGATCTCCCCACGGGGGCAGCGACGTCGTTGCCAATATGTAGGTCTCCTGGATGGGGTCCGAGCAGACGGGGTCGGAGGTTGTGCAGGACGCATGGGGCGCCAGTAAGGGTGTGCGATCCGCGCACACCCGACGAGCACCTGCTCAACCGCCACAAGAATCAGGGAGCCTGGGCGACACCGGCAAAGTCGATCGAGGTATTCGCCTCCAGGACACTGTCTGGCGAAAAGGCCAGCGGTCCTGAGTGTTTGTCGTCCCGCAGCGCCTGCGCCACCGTAGGACACAGTCTGGCGGCAGTGCCAGCGGTCCCGAGCGGATGCATCGCCGATGTATCGGCGATGCGGCTCGATCCTCCGACTCCATCTACTTGGACCCCATCTATGGGGGCCTCTGCAGTCTCCCTCCTGCTCCCAAGGTCCGGGCGCGGCCCGACGAGCTCCACGCTGCGACCGAGGGGGCTCCTCCGCCCACGCAGCGGGCACTCCCCAGGCCCCAGGGGCGATCCCGCGGGGCGCCACCGACCACCTCGGTCGTGGTCTTTCGGATGAGCCTCGTCAGACGCAGCCTGGCCTTGCTCGCCGAGGCTGCCCCCTGCGCTTCACAGGCAGCCCTCCTCTGGCGGGGCTGGGCCCTCGACAACGGTCGGGACATGGGCGAGGGGAGGAGCACATGCTGGACCCCGAGCTCCAGGCGGCCGATCAGCCTCTTCTTCTTCTTCTTCCTCCTCCTCCTCCTCCTCCTCCTCCTCCTCCTCCTCCCTCCTCCCTCCTCCCTCCTCCTCCTCCTGCTCCTCCTCCTCCTCCTCCTCCTCCTCCTCCTCCGCCTCCTCCTCCTCCTCCTCTCCTCCTCCTCCTCCTCCTCCCCATCCTCTCCCGTCCTCCTCCTCCTCCTACCTCCCTCCTCCCCTCCTCCTCCTCCTCCTCCTTCCTCCTCCTCCTCCTCCTCCTGCAATCTCCTCCTGCCTCCCTCCTCCTCCTCTCCTCCTCTCCTCCTGCATCTCCTCCTCCTGCATCTCTCCGCCTACCTGCAATCTCCTCCTCCTCCTCTCCTCCCCCTCATCCTCCCTCCTCCTCCTCCTCCTCCTCCTCCTCCTCCTCCTCCTTCTCCTCCTCCTCCTCTCAGAGACGTCCTTGTCGAGACCCCCACCCGGATCGCGCGCGCGGGCGCGGATGGCCCACCCGAGGAGCCCAGCTTGCAGAAGCGTGGCCCTGCTGGGGAGCTGCCGCGGCCGCACGGCCCTCCTCCCACATCCGGCGCTATGGCCCAGCGGCCACCGCGCGCCTCTCTTCGCCTCGTCCTGCAGCCTCCCACTGCTGCAGGTGCTCCGGGCCCTAGGCCCCAAACCCTAAAACCAGCTAGGAGGAGGAGGAGGCGAGGCCACCACTTGCCGTCGCCTCGCCGGCACCGCCGGCCGTGCCGGCTCTTCGGGCGGCGCGCCGGCCTGCGCTCATCGTCTCGTCGCTGTCGGTTGGTCTTTGTGCTGCCCGTCTCCGTCTTCGGTCGCAGTCTCAATATTCTCGCTCGCCACCCACGCCCGGGTGGCGGATGGGCGGTTGATACAAAGTGGTCCCGTGTCTGGGGACCCAGCCGCGCGCGTCAGCTCCGTGCCGCTCGCTCGACTTCCTTCACCTCGTCGCTGCGCGCTAGGCCGCGATCGCCCAAGAAAGTGTGTCTCCATGTATCCTCTTCTTCCCCGGGAATGGCCAGTCTTCTGGGCGCGGCCAGATTGACCCCCTCCGTGGCGAGCCCCTTCTGTACGCGAGCCCCTCGCCCGAGGCCACCCCCTGGCCGCTTGCGCTCGTCTTGGGGCGAGGCTGGGGGGCTCCAGAGCCGACCCGACAGATCCGCGCGGGCCCCCGAAAGTGTGTCCCGCCGTGCTGTACTCTTTTGGGGCCCCTCTCCAGGAAGTGGGCCGCTGCCTCTGGCCGCACGGAAAGAGGGCGTGGTCCAAGGCCAATTGCGTCGAGGCGATCTACGAGCCCCTCCGCGCGAAGAAGGGCACTTGGGGGCAGCAACGGGGCGGGAAGCGGCTCAGCGGGGGGAGCCTCGGCCCCACGTCGCCCAGGGCTGGCCGAGCGGGGCATGGGGCCCCCCCACCCCTCCCGGGAACGCGCGGGCTTGCGCTGATGATCCATCGGCCGTGTATCGCCGATTCCAGCTCGAGGCCTCCCGCCCCCTGAGCCAGCCCCCCCCCCTTTAATTCGTCCTGAGACCCGACGCTGCGAAAAAAGTGCAGCGCCGCGACGAGGCAGAACCGGCGCCGTGGACCCCGCCTTCTCTCTGAGCCCGAGGCCGAGCCGGATGGACCTCTGCTGGCCCCGGGGCCCGACGCCGGGCGAAAACGCCCGGGGTGAAGACACGGCAGCGCCCTCGGGCGTCCGGGCCGGCCCGGGGAGGCCACGAGGTGCCGAGACCGCGGCCCCCAGGACCGCATCCCGGGGTGCGTGCGGACCCTACAGGATTTCGAGGCGAATCTGGACGTGGGGACGAGGGGCCCCCCCCCCGGGAGGCCCGAAAAGTCGAGAACGAGGAAAGGAGGCCCAGGGCGAAAGCATTGCAACGCCCGGATCTCAGGGCTTCGACCCCCTGCATACAGGCAAGGCCGGGATGCTCTTCGGGGCTATCGCGACCGCGGCCTCGTACGCCCGGACGGTCGACAGTGCTCCGGGGCGTGGCTGTCAACTCCAGACCTCCAACCCCGGACTTCCAGCGCAAGGCCCAGAGCAGCACACAGGATTTGGAGCCGGCTGGGGGTCTGAGGTGGCCCAACGCTCGTGCCGGCCAGCAGGAAGGGCAGGCAGTTTCGAGGTTCCGAGTTCGGGAGGGTTGTTGGTCTTTTTCGGCCTCTGGAGGGACCGTTTTCGGGTTCCGAGGCTGTGAAAAACAGATCCGCGGGGAAAAATTGCATCGGAAGGGCCCAGACCAGGAGGGATCCGGGGACAGTTGTTTTGCGGATTTGGCCTGATCCCCCCTCCTGACCGATTTTCTGGGGCCTGACACCAGGAGCAGGAGGAGGAAGAGGAGGAGGAGGAGGACGAGGAGGAGGAGGAGGAGGAGGAGGAGCAGGATAAGGAAAGGGAGAAGGATAAGGAGAAGGAGGAAGTTGAGGAGGGAGAGGAGGAATGAGAAAAGAAAGATGGGGCAGGAGGAGGAGGAGGAGGAGGAGGAGGAGGAGGAGGAGGAGGAAGAGGAGAAGGGGGAGCAGACCGAGTCTCGATATCCTTCCTGCGGGCTTTCGGCGCCCCGAGGTATACTCTCTAAGCCGGCGTACGGGAACGAGTTCACAGAGAGGTCCGGCGTCGTCGTCAAGGAACATTGAATGTAGTTGTTGCAACAAACGGCATCGACGAGCATGTTGGCCCTGTGTTACACCCCATTCAGCGACATGTTTCGCAATCGAGCTATAATTCCGTCCTCCAAATGGAGGTTCGATCTCCATCCTGAAAGCTGTCCCCTTCATAATGGAGGCGTTTCCCTCGTCCGGAATGGGAGTTCGAGCTCCAGAATGGAGTTGTCATAGTCGTCGTAGTTTCGGAGGTTTTTGGGCGTCTCGCGCAGCTCTCGTGGCAACCGTCGGATCGAGGCTCGGAGAGGCTTGCCAGGAGGGACTGTGCACAGAGGATCGAAAATCTCCATGATGAAGATTCGACCTTGGTTCTGGACGAGTCGTTCCTCCGCCCTAGACGTTACCTTCATCTGAAACACTGGCGCGCCTTTCGAAAGGAAGGTCTGCCCTCCAACCTGGAAGTTCGACCTCCAGATTTGAAGGTTCGCCTTTGCAAGCCCTGCGCTCCACGCTCGAGGGCTCGCACCCCCCCCCATTCCCCCCCCCCCAGTCGGGGCTGGACAGAACCCCCAATAGTGACACGTCGATTAGTGAATTGTCCGTTTTCGGTTCTCGAGAGGGCGCCGCGGCCGTTATTTTCCAGGCTTGCGCCCGCCAGGTTTGGGCCCGAGGTCGTTTTCACTAAACCACGTTTTACTAAAGGGAGGTCTGTCCCCCCCCCCCCCAGACAACCTGACATCGTCGGTTGCGCAGGTCCGAAGGGGGTGCGCAGTACGAGTGCGCGCAGGCATGCGTGCGGCTGCCCAGATCGAGAAGCTCGGGTTATCGGTCGGCATCTCTCTCCCTCCCCCCCCGTCGGTATCCTGCATCCTCCTTCCCTCCCTCCCCCTCCCTCCCGAGTGGCCGAGTGCCCGCGGTATGGTAGTCGATCCTGTGTACGACCCGATGCCTGCCCAGCTGCTCGATGTGAGGCGAGGGGACTTTCTGAGGGATGGCGACATAGGGGTAGGAAGGACACTGCTCTCGGAGCTCCTTGGTGTCCGTGCAGAGCCTTCAGCCTGACTACAGTCAACCCGCATAGCAAGGCTGGGCAACCTTCCCAAGGGTACCCTTGCATCCTTGCCCCTTCGGCCCATGCTTAGCGACTTTCGCTGGCCAACCTCCTTCGAAAAACGTTCACTTGGGCCTCCAAGGCCCGTGCATCCTTACCGCGCATCTTCATGATACGAGTTGAATGCAGTGTTTTGCCAGTTGCGTGTCGGCCTCCACTGGCAGGCTCGCAGCTTAACCAGCGTCGAAATCCCAAATCCCCCCTCCATCGGATAACATCACCAGGTCTACTGAGCTTCTACGCCCCCCAGTCTCTGGGCGGGCCGCCGTCGCCGAGTCCGTTTTTTTGCACAGAGTACCTAGTGTTCGGGACGGCCGCCGCCGCCGCGAGTTTGCACCGGTTGTTTGTATATTTGTCTTCAGCCCACCCCGCCACCGCTCCTGGGTCGTGGGCCAGAGGCCTCGTCGCGGCAGCGCGCTTGCTGCTTTCGTGCGGGGGGTTCGGGGCTCGAAGCATAATTCTATTGTGCAATTCGGTGCGGTTGCTCGCTTGTTCTCTCTGTGTGGAGGGTTCGGGCCCGGGGGGTTTTAAGCAACATTATGTTGTGTAATTTGTCGCGGTCGCGCTGCTACTTTTTTTGTAATTGAGAGTTCGGGCCCAGGGGGTCAAGCGACGCCGAAGCGGGATACTTCCGGAAAGAATTTGGAAACATGTTTCGTTATGTTTTGGGTGTGCGCGCGTGGGTCGAAGGTTTCGTTCGGTTTTGGACGCGACTGCGGGCGTTTTCGGATAAGAGAACGGAGGAGAATGTTGAATTGTATTGCGGCTTCGGTTTCATGCTCGTATTTCGCGGTTGAACGGTTTTCAAATCAGAAGTAGCCATGATAAGAACGCACGCATCATGGAATATGTTCATATCACGTAGTGCACGTAGTGCGCGCAGAGTCCGTCGCCGTCGCTTTAATTTTGTCGCATTGGCGTTTGCGCGCGGCCGCCGCCAGTTTGTTTGTAACATTTACATCATGTCCAGGGCGTTGGCCACCAGATTTGGGGACCCCCCCGCATCGTGTTTTATGTGTTTTCGTCGCCGCCGTGGGAATTTTTGTGAATACTTTTCCTACAGTCTCGGCTAGGTGATCGGATAACACAGGCGATCGCCGAGAAAGAAACAATAACTACACCACCAACAACAACACCACCAACACCAACAGCAACAACAACAATCATTGTACCCTCATGCGCGATGTTTCCACACGAAGCATGCGACCATCATGATAATCATTCCTATCATGGGGGATGATTGTTCTATAGCGGGGTCCGTTATTCTCACTCCCAGATATCCCGCCCAATGAGGTCTTGCAAACACCTCCTCCGAGGAATTTCAACACATCCCACCTCGAAAACGCATGCCCGCACCTTGCTGCGCCGATGCGAGACCGCCAGTGGAGCCCCAGCCAAGGGTAAAGCACAAGGAAGTATCGAGCGACAGGATTGCCTTGGTGGGGATGGGGGCTGTCGGCGGCGAGGCAAGGACCTGGCCCTGAATAGAAAGGGAGGAAGTCTCGAGCAGGGCCGCTGTTGTTGCTGGGAGCGGCGCCAGTGCTGAAGAGAGTAGGGCGCTAGTCCAGCGTAAAACAAAACAGAGCCTCGAGCGGGAGCGCTGGTTTTGTTGGGACGGCGGTTGTCGGCTGCGAGGAGGAACACCGCCTTGAGTAAGAAGGGCGGAAGTCTCGAGCGGAAGACGTGGTTGCGTCCGGGCGGGGGCTGTCGGCGGCGAGGAACAGCACCGTCCTGAGGAAAAGGGGGGAAGCCTCGAACGGGAGCGTTGTTCTTGCTGGCAGCGGCGCCAATTCAAAAGAGAATAGGGCGCAAGTCCAGCGTAAAGCGGGAGGAAGTCTCGGGCGGGAGCGCTGGTTTTGTCGGGGCGGCGGTTTTCGGCGGCGAGGAGGAGCACCGCCTTGAGCAACAATTGAAGAAGTCTCGAGCGGGAGCATTATTGTTGCTGGGGCCGGCGCCGATGCGAGAAAGAGTAGCGCTCCAGTCCAAGGCAAAACTGGAAAAAGTCTCGAGCGGTAGCGCCGGTTTTGTCGGGACGGCGGCTTTCAGCGGCGAGCAGGAGCACCAACCCTAAGTAGAAAAAGAGGAAGTTTTGAGCAGGAGCGTTGTTGTGGTTGGGGAGCCGGTTTTGGCGCCCCCCCAAAGCCGCTCGAGCGTGAGCCTCATTTTCAATGAAAATTTAGCCGGCGCCGAGGCGAGGGCGCCTGGGGGGTGCAACAATACGAATTGTTTAGCAATGAACATCCAACAACAACAGCAACAACAACAATAACAATAGCAATAACAATAAGAAACATAAGAAGAAGAATAAGAAGAACAACAACAACAACAATCATTTTAAGACTGTTCGCCCTTATCTGCTCGAGTGTCCAATAACGCGTATTTCCCAAACCCTCGATACCCGCCCTCTTCGTCTTCGATCGAACCCCTTTTGGGGGGTACACCTTTCTTCCCTGCAGGCCGGGCCCCGGCAAGCGGCGGGGCGGCCGCGGACCGTCGGCCTGGCCAGCGGCAGCGCTGATCGGCGGGGCGGCCGCGGACCGTCGACCCGACCCAAGAGGGACGGACAGGAGACCGACCACGACGACGACGACGACGACGACGACGGTACGACGACGACGACCGACGAACGACGACTACGACGACGACGACGACACGACGACGAACGACGCTACGGCGACGGCGACGGCGACGACGACGACGACGACGACGACGACGACGGCGACGACGACGACGACGACGAGCGAAAGCGAGAGCGAGAGAGAACGACAGCAGGGCCACGAAGGACGAAGGACACGAAGTAGGCCACGAAGGGCGACAGCGGGGACACGAAGGGAATGCGTATGGGGCCACGAAGAGCGCGAACGAGCGGGGGCCAAGAGGGCAGATAATGCGGGGCCACAGAAGGCAACGATGGGGCCACTGAGGGTAGCAACTGGGCCACGTAGGACAGTGAGGGGGCCACAAACGGCGACAGCGGGGCCGCGAAGGGCATGCACATGGGGCCACCACGGGCGCGAACGAGCGGGGGCCACGAAGGGCATGCGTATGTTGGGCCGCAGAGGGCAACGACGGGGCCACTGAGGGCAGCAACGGGGCCACGAAGGGCAGCGAGGTGGCCACGAAGGGCGACAGCGGGGCCACGAAAGGTACGCATATGGGGCCACCACGGGCGCGAACGAGCGGGGGCCACGAAGGGCATACATATATGGGGTCACGAAGTGCAGCGGGGGGGCCACGAAGGGCTGCAACGGGGCCGCGAAGGGCAGCGAGGGGGCCACGAAGGGCGACAGCGGGGCCACGAAGGGCATGCATATGGGGCCACCACGGGCGCGAACGAGCGGGGGCCACGAAGGGCGTACGTATAAGGGGCCACGAAGGGCAGCGAGGGGGC